TTGGCCTAGATATTGGATCATAAAACCTATTACTTGTGTGTCAGTGTTGACACACAAGATGCAGCTCGGAATTAAGGAAAGGCAGTTTTGATCTACCTGCTTCCTGTGTTTGTCCAAGACTATGCTACGATAACTGAGATTGGATTGATACCCAAATTAATATATGTCATGTATTTCGTTTAAATACTTTTAAAGGCAGAGAAGCCCAAAGAGAGTTCATATTTGCATTTTGTTTAAGATTCCTAAATGAATGGTCTGAATGCCTCAGGCAGTCTCCTTATTTACATTTCTAGAACTTCCCTTGTGTCCTTTTGTTCTACTCCTGCCTTCCTCTCTCTTTGTCCGGGTGTCTGTAGCTGCTTGTACTTTTCATCTTAACACAAACTGACAGTCGACAGTCGACTCCACTCCTGACCTTCACCCGTCCGCCCTGCTCGCTGCAGCCTCAGTTCCCAGAACGAACCCGAACGTCTGGACGTCAGACTGATGAAGGGACTGTTGAAAAGCGCTGAAAACGTGAACGATGTCCATGAGCTCACTGGCTTGTATAAAAGAGCCCGCACACCAAACCGCCTGCCAGGGGAAACAGAGCTGGGAGGCAGGTGAGACAGGGAGGCATTGTTTGGGCCCCCTTACAGGTGAGACTCCTCACAGTCTGCAGCAACAGACCTCTCTTTAGATGGATCAGGGACACTCTCCAAGAACATTAAGAGGGCTTGGCGTGAAGTTGGCACCACACAGACTAAAAGCTCGGTCAGGAGGAAATGGTATTGATGGACTACTGGTGTTATTACAAGGTTTAATATGGCTTTAGCAAAATTAAGTGAGGAAATCTGTAATGTTGTAAATGTTTTTCCTCAGCAACACCAAGGGTCACATGTGACATTGTCCAAAATATTTAAGTAATTTAAAGAAATAAAGTAGAATAAGTAAATAGGAAGGTCAATCAAGGTTGTTAAGTCCAATATCATCAAACAAAGCCAAAGACAAAACAGAACCACTGAAAGGGAGCAGATAAAACTGTGGATTTAATCCAAGTAGCACTTTCTTCTCCAGAGAAAACAGAGAGGGCAGAGAAATAAACAGTAAGATTGAAAAACAGACGCTGAGGGTGCGGAGATTGAGAGATAAAGGGAAACAGTGTGCATGATGTCAGGTCGCTGTTTTAGTGCTGCAAACTGGCTGCAGATGGCGGAACGAGAGGTCAGAGATGGAAATGAACAAATTCAGAGCAGCAGCTGAGCGGAGAGGAGGGGCTCTGACCGGGACGAGGGTCAGCGTCGAGCCGGCAGACAGATTTTTTAAACGGCAATTAGAAGTTCCTCCAGCTTCTAGCTCAGAGCCACGGCGACAGCCTGACCCCTAATCATCCTCAATTTCATTCAGGTTTGAGACGTGTCTCCTCGGATTGGCTGTTTATTTTTCACAGCGCTTCCTGTTTGATTGAGCACCACGGGCTGTATGTCTTTGTGGATAACAGGGAGGGCAAAGGTCAGGTGCACACTTACCACACATGTTAAATCATCCAGCACCACAAGCAGTCAATCTTCTTCAATGTATCTTAAATGTATCTCCGTTATTAACATTCCTAAAACAGCATAGGGCCATTTGTATTTGTATACCCCTGCAATTTTTATTTTTTTTAACCTAAATGACAGCTAGCAGATTTATCAACTGTAGCTGGTAGGCTAATTAGCTTAAACTGGTTGGTTCCCTTTATAGCAAAACCATGCAGTCTATCATGCTAAAAGACAGCAACATTACGTCTGGCCGTTGCCTCATTTGAGACCGTTAAGTTGCTTTTTTTGCAATTTGTGATGATTCACCCAAAACAGACAATGCACCGACTGTATATATGTTAGCTGTAAGCTAGCTAGCTTGTGTGCCTGTCTGTTCAGTTTGTTGACTAAATGAAATGTGTACGTTTCTGTAATTGATTGATCATTTCTTGCCATTGATTTTTAGCTCTGTTTCAAGTCTGCCCTTTGTGTTATCTTAAGACATTAAAGCTGCATCTCCTATACCTCAAAGTGCTGGGGAAAAGTCCTAATTTCATCTGTAACCCCAGAAAGAATAGCTAATAGGAGTATACTGCTTGTTCATAGAAGTTGCACTACAGCTCCATGTACCTCATGTTGACATGTTAAACTGCCAAAGCTTGGTGTGCTTTGTCTCTTTATAGTTGTTAAGGTAAGGGCTTTTCAATGGAGGGGATAGCCTTTGGGAAGAAAACATTACCATAGTTGCTGAATTCATCCCGAACTCATAGCTGACTTATTTCCTTCAGTTTAAACCTCGACATGCTTTGCTTTTTTCAAAGAACCAGATAATTACCCAAAGTAACAATAACTATAGTTTGTTTTTTTGGATTGAGTTTCCTTATTGTTTTTGTAAATGGAATACTATTTGCCATTGTAACATGTAATTGAGTTGATGTTTGAAGGTTTTACTCAATTAATCTCTCTGGTTCCTACCCAGGAAATACATTTTAGTTAAACTAACCGTGAAACTTCAGATTTATGTCCAATGGCTGTGTAAGAGAGAGGAGGAACTTTCTCTGGTTCTTCGAAGACGCGTCTCGTCTATGGTCTCGACACACGTGGACGACAGATCTGACATGTTGAACTTCTGAACTGAGTGCAGCCATCATGGTAACCTACTTTTCTCCTATCAGTTCCACCCATTCCTACAGGGAATTTATACACTTCCCCCACCTCTAACCCTGATGTGCCTCCACAGGTCACCTCAATAATGAGCCATGTGGTCCCCTCTGGCGCTCACTAATCAGGGATCCAAGGCCGTCCCATCCTCGGCCCGACGCCGCCGCTGCATCAACACACTCTGAACCCGGAGAGGTTGTCTCTCTACCATCTGGCCTCCATGCCTTGCCCTGTCTCCACTCTGCCGGCGATTTATGCCCTCCTGAGGTGTTTTGCCTTTTAACTTGCACATAATTGGCCCCCAGATGCAGAAAAAGATGTGGGGGCCAGTTTTTATTAGTTGCCAAGCAGAGGTCATTGTTTTTGCATTGCTCCGACTCTTCAGCGCTGCCAAGGTTAAAAAGACACGCTTTATGTTGAACCAATTACTGAAAGAAATAAGGAGTCCATACAAAGTCATACATAAATGACGGTAATGCTGGAATTTAGAGCTGAATGAACCCAGTGTGTGATGATGTGTGCTAAATGACAGTGGTGAAGGAAGCAGTAAAAATCAAATCATATGAACTCAGCCCTTTTCTACAAAGTCCTGAAATACCTTCTGTCTTGTTTCATGTCCGTAGGCTCCACCTCCGTGACTTACTCACCAGACATGATACGTCTGCTGTTAATTTGTATGAGTTAATAGGCGATATTCACAAGAAAAGCACATGACATGGCAGGCATAAGAACCTTCAAAAGTCTGATTGAAAGTCAGACATCACTTTAAAGCGTAACCATACCAAGTAATAAATGGTGACCCCTAATGTAATGTTGGGACTGATTATAGCAGACTGTTCTAACCACTGAAACATGGTACAAAGGCTATAGCTAAAACATGCAAGGTATTCAGGGAAAATATATTCTGTGTTTTGATTTGTAATGAGCCTTCAAGCTCATGAATCTATTCCTTAAACCATTCGACCTTCATGGATTGTTTTTCATCTTCTCTGCTGTTGCTGAAGTCAGCCTGATGCCCTGATTTAGTAGACTTGCTAGACATTTGGGAATTAAAAATTAACATATTAAAGTCAATGTGGATGGATAGATGGGTTAAGGTAAAAAGTATTTATAATTAAATATCTAAGGAGAAACCTTTCTGCTTAATTTATTTTTTTTGGTTGATTCTAGTTTATTTTCATATCTGCAAAAGGGGACGTAGTATAATAAACCACACTCTGCACACAGGGTGTGTGTAGCCCTCTTTTTGCCCTCCTTTGCAGTACAACCACTTAAATGTCATGCTGCTTTCACATGAAGCACTTCTTTAATTAACCTTTCACCCCTCTGACACACGGGCAGTCGCTCTATAAGAAAAGAGCTAGACGGGGCAGTGGATGAGAAATTAAGCGGAAAATTGGCGGAAAATGAAATGAACACCATGAATTATGTGCAGTCTTTTTGCATCAGTATCTTTAGGAAATTAGTGTACTGATTAGGACATTCCGAGGTTGGAATTTAATAAGTAACCTTATCATTCTACTTCACTACATCTCAGAGGGAAATATAGTAAATGTTACTTAACTTAATTTATCTGACAGCTTTAGTTACTTTTCAAATTAAGATGTTTGCAGACAAAACTGCTGCTATTCCTTTGAATATTTGTTATAATTGGAATTTATCTGTAATAATATTGAGGCTTGTGCTGTTGGTTGGACAAAACAAGTATTATGAAGGCATTACTTTGGGGTAATTGGGACACCATTTATCACTAGTTAACTGAAAATGATTGATAATTAATTGTTCAAAATGACTCCCATTTCAACCAATTACCAAAGTAACATATCTTACATTAATGCATGAGTATCCTAATAATAATAATCAAATGATATAACATATAATAGTTTAACAGCAACAGGGTACATTTTTCTACTTTAAATACAACATTTTCATGATGACATACTTGTATTAAAGTAACATTCTCAATGAAGAACGTTTAGGTTAACTGTATGCTGTACTGTTAGTATTTTTATTAACCTAAAGCACATAAATACCAAGTGAATTTATTCAAGGGAACTTTTAAAGGAGATGTATGGAGCTAGTATGTAGTACACCATAGATATGCCCTTCGTATTATAATCTACAAAGTTACCTTTACGTCTTAAGGTGCATACAAAATCTAGAATAATATTTTATCTGTACTACAAATTGTATATGATGATAGCAATGTGTATTGTTTTATTTAAATTCACATTACGCGAGTGTTTATTTTCTTTTTATTCAGGCGACATCTGTAACTTCAAACTCACGGGTCTTCTTTTGGGTCCTTAACGTGGCATTAATAAACAAATATGGCGGCGAGGTTTTGAGCTTCACAGTTTATCCGTCTTTTAGAAGTTTAAAATGACTATTTCAGGTCAATAAGCTAAATATTTACTACATGCATAATTATTGCTGTATTACCTGCAGTATTTTAGGCGTGAAGCTGTAAAATGAGCGGCTGGGCCGGCTTTTCTGACGAGGAGTTACGGAAGATGCAGCCGAAAGGTGACATCTCTTCCTGCTAATTATAGCCTTGGAAGTTAGCTTCTGACTCTAGCTCCCCCACTTGTTGACATGTTTTGAAATAAAACGTTACATTAAGTCGAATCATTTTGTGTGACATTTTTTCTGCTACATGTGTTTCCAGACGCGATGGCCGTTGCGGCTGCCCGGGGACGAAAGCCGGCTCCAGCCAACCGGAGTCGACAGCAGATACAGCGGGAGAATGCTCTTCAGATGGCCGCTCAAAAAAAAGCGTCTCATTGTCTCCCACCGGAGCAACAACTCACCAAACCGCCGCCAAGGGAAGAGCCTGAACCTCAGCCCACAGCCCCGGCAGCAGCAGCAGCAGCTCCGGCTGTCAGACAGGAGGTGCTACCTAAACCAAGCGAAATAAAGCCGGCTCCAGAAGAGGAGATCCCGGCCGTCAAAGAGCTGGAGAAACAAGAGGTGGCACTGTTAGTATGTTTTCCTTATTGTACCTACTGCTGGGATTTCACTACATTTGGTTGACAATTTATTTTCCAGATAACAGTTTTTCCATCCCTTTCCTGTCCAGTGAAAACCATTTATCTACAGATATGTTGCTTTTGAATGTTTGTGATTAAGTTATACTACTTCTTAAGCCTAATATACAAGTTAAAAAGCCTCTTGGATCAGCTGTAAATGCATTGTCACAAAGCTGAAAACAGGGCTGTTTTTCTAACCTTCGTTCCGGTGCACTCCGATAGCATTTAGCACTACATCGAGATTAAGATTAAACTAACTTCTTTTGGGAACACCCGCATATAGGTTACCTATGGAGTTAGCCAGATTTGTGTAAATTACTGTTCATGGTCATTTGAAAACAAATGCCGGTGTCGGACAGACACAAACACACCGAACACAGAGCTGAGCTGAGCAGAGCACATACACACACACATCATGCGCCTTGGTGACTGGACATCTCCTTCATAAAACTAATAAAAGGGGGAGTAATCGGGCAGTTCGATGTGTGTGGAGGTGTGTGTGGAGGTGTGTGTGGTTAACACGTAGCAGCCTGCAGTCACTCGCTGTTCTGATGAAGGTTAACCCAGTGAAGGCGGTGCGTAAAAAGGCACAGCTCTCGGTGCGCTGGTGCTGCACTTCTCAGAGGCGGATTATACGTCCCGCTGCCTCATGAAGTGAAGGAGGTTTTCCTTCTATAAAAGAGCTGTGGGCAGCAGATACCGTGAGGTCCCGGACATGAATTCATAGATCAAGGCAGACTGGTTTACTCCTGTTTTGCCAATCCGGTGCTTAAACAAATAGCTCTACACCCCTGGCCGACATGTCCTTAAAATGAAGTCCGAGTTTGAAATATATCTCAAATAATGTATGCACTGCCATTTCCCCACATTAACATAACAGTCTGCAATCAAACTGTTGTCTCCTGTGCGCTCCTCTTCCTACTTGGCGCACCGGTAACTTTCTCGTGCGCACAAGAGGCTGAGACCTTAGGCTGAGCCGCCGAATCCCTCGGAACATCATAAAAGCCATTTTCAACGGTTTTCTGGTGAAAGTTTAACTAGGCTACTGGATGAAATAATATGACTGGTGCGAAAATTATAAAATATTTTTATATATTTATAATTCTGCAAATATTACGATAAACTCACAGCTATTTCGCGGCCCGGCAGTAACACCTGGGGTGACCGGGGGTTGGAAACCCCTGCTTTAAACTTTTATGTATCTACGTTATTTTTGAATAACCACCAAACCTTTCTGCTGGATTCGAGGCAACTTTTATTTACTTTGCATCAAGCTGCCTTTGCATACTTGTTTTGAACTATTTCTGCCATAGGAGACCCAAACCTCCTTTCATGCTGTGGATTTAGTTTTTGTTGGGCATTTAAAAAATATTAATGCATTTGGTGTGTTCATTTCTCTGTTTGATTACAGACGGGAACAAACACGTCTGGAGCATCTGCAGCAAGAGCAAAAGCTAATCGAAGAGAGGAATAAGCGCAAGAAAGCTCTGCTGACAAAAACTATTGCTGAGAAGTAAGTCTGGATATCTTGTGGCACTGTAGTGTGCAACCTGTTTTCATGAAAGTAAGCCCAACATTAAGGCCAAATTAAGAAATATAAGAGTTTTGTATCTTCCACAGGTCCAAACAGACTCAGGCAGAGTCTGTGAAGCTGAAGAGGATCCAGAAGGAGCTCCAGGCCCTCGATGACATGGTGTCCAATGATATCGGCATCCTAAGAAGCCGGATAGAAAAGGCCAGCTGGGAGTTCTCCGGTGCCAGGTAGAGAGAGACATCTTGTGATAATAACCAACTCTAGAAACTAAGCTAAGGTTGTGCACATGACAACAGCTACAGACGCAGGATCAGGAATCCAAATCAGAAAAATCCCCCAAATCTTCCCTGGCAGTAAGCTCCTATAGAGTCGTGAAGGAATGAGTCATAACACCTCGAATTGAGTTGGCATATGTCGGTAAGATGCCTGAAATAAGTTCTGTAGTTAATACAAGATCAATAGATTTTCACATGTTCTATGACATACAATGCGTCAGTAAATACCCCAATCATGAATGTCCAAAGCTTCTATGTAGGATCATAACAGTGATAACTGCTTACAATTGACCAAATGAGACTACTAAACGTCATCACAATGAACACTAGTCCGCCTTTAGTTTAGCAGCGGTGACGCAAAATGACATGAGTGATGGAGTTTGTTTATAGCCTCATGTTAGCATTTTTTTTCCTGCTGATTGCATTTAGGTTTAAAAAAAGAAGGCAGTGGTGTTAATATGTGGAGATTATCCTGCTGAAGAAAACATGCAAGTATCATAAATGTTCTGCCATTCTGCCACGGATGTTATTTTTTTATAATTTTCTGAAATCTCTACTTTACTAATTTACTGAAATGGCCCTTGCAATGGTAACTACAAACATATATAGTCACTGCAACACTTCATACAAGCCCTTATTTAAGTGTTAGAGAGATTTAGTCCCCGTTTACACGAGGACGAAGCGGGTTGTATACGCATAGTTTCTCTTGCATATAGCCCTTTCGTTTACACGAGGTCGTAACAAAACGATAGAAACGGACCCCGCAAAAAATAATGTGTCCCAAGGTGGATAGATCTGCAAACGGAACACTCTGGGGAGGCAAACGGCTCCGTGTGTACGCCTCTATACGATCATTTTCTGATAACGATGAAATAGCCTCGTCTCCCTCTCCCCACGTCTCCTGCTCAGAGATCAGCTGCTGGGCTGTCAGAAGAGGGGGAGGAAAAGAGAGGCTCCGTTTATTATTCTTATATTATTATATAGAGTCGTTTTTTTTTAAAGCTCAATAAATATCAAAGAAGACCTCTGACCGGCACTTTTCTAATTTTGTCCAGAAGATTTAAACTTTAACGGACATGTTGACCGGCGGAAAAAAAATGTTAACGGAAACTCTGCCGCACGGTTCCCTCGTCCCTTGGAAGAAGCGGAGAGGTGGGTGTTTTTCATCTGCTGGTGGACTACTGGTGAGATTTATAGTAGGAGCACACGCCGTCCACCGCGGAGAATAAACAGAATGGCAACCATGCTCCGGGGTCTTCTTCGCTGCTGTTGGTGTATTTTGTGGCGGCAGCAGCGCCACTTACAGGCCCGGCATATGTACTACAGCGTTTCCAGCTGTCTCGTGTGAACGGACACGTTAAATGAATCGAATGAGTGTGAACGGAAGACTTTTTTGAAAAGGCATACGGTGAATAAACGTTCCCGTGTAAATGGGGTCTTAGAAACAGGCATCTATCAAACTTCTTCAGTGTTTCAATTTGAGCCAAGAAAAGGGGGCAGCTCTATATGTAAAGTACTTACAATCCCAATAGCCCATTCACACTGTGATAGTGGCGCTCTTGCAGAATCATTGCATGTTAATTTGATGAGTCTCATAAAATGTTACCTTCTTTTTGTGGATGTCAAACGTTGGGGCAAATGGCTGGATTAATGTAGCACAGTATGGAGAATAAAATGCAGACAGACACATCATCAACTCACAATATTAATCTGCTGTCATATTTAAAAACATGTTTAAATGTGCTCAAAACCTCAGATTCAAAACAACCGGCCCTGAATGCAACAAACTGTGTGTATTCTGCATGATTTGAGGTTGTACTCTGATTGCTTGGGAGCTGCTGCAACATTTTGAAGCAAGCTGTCTTTAGTCTGTAACGCTCTAAATCAATTGGTTCACATGTCTGTTATGACCTGGCTCAAAAGGCCACAACAAAGTGGGAGGTACACCATATAAATGGTTAATAAAAATATGTTTATTTAAGCAAAGTAAGCATGAGGTGTGGACGTCAGTATCAGTAGTG